ATATATATATATATATATATATAATATATATATACCCCCTCGAACGTGTTCCCGCCTTGTCATGGCGGGGGGCTTAGTAGCCGTGGTTTGGTCACCCGCGGTGAACAGAGGGACCCACTTGGGCTGGCCACACTCACATGCGCACAAATTCACAGACTGTCTTTTATGATACATAATCTAAACCTACTAAAAAGGTTGAATAAAACTAATTTCACGGATTTTATAGGTTGCTATAGGGCGACGGGGGGAGTATTGAGGTGTTAATCCTGATATCATAGTTAATGTAGACTACCTTTAAATAAAGTTAAAATTAAATGTGATAATATCCGTAAAATAAGTTTTATTCATTGTATAGTATGTAAGAAATCATTAAGCTAAAAAGGTTCATTACTAAAGCTTTATTTAGCTGTACCTTTTGGTATTTTCATATGCAATACTAACATTATTTTTCCTCTATCTATAGGAATCATAAAGATGATGAATGAAAAAAATTACTTATTCATTTGATATTAAAATAAATTACAAAAAAGAATTACTTACTTTATTTTCTCAGTTGTATACAAATATTTAATGCAACACAATGTGAAGGTAGGTAAAATATGATTAATATATTATTAAGCACAATATAAAAGCCTATTTTAATTATTACTTTTAATCCTCCACTGGGAAGTATAATTGCATAAGTGTCTCATAGATATCCACATCTACAGGCATGAATGTGCAAAAGATTACTCGCTCCATATCATCATTATTTTCCAGAAACTTCCGAACTGTTCTTAAAGCAATGTGTGCCGCTAGACGGTTTGGAAAACCATATATACCAGTTGAAATGCATGGAAATGCAATGGATCTAAAACGGCATTCATTTTTAAGAGCAAGGCAGTTCTCATAGCATGATTGCAGCTTTGACGCGGAACCATCTTGAGGGCCTACGGTGTGTATCACATCTGAAAGAAATAAATTTTAAAATAACTGATTGAAATGATTTGTCTGTTAATATCATAGAGTAACACGGGTCACCGGCGGATGGATAGGAGTAGCCATAGCGTTTTTTCTAGAAACATAACTGTCTGTCATTATTTACTGACGGAAATCTGCGCACTAAAAACAATAGTCTGTCAAAAAACACGAAACTCACACATAATAATGAAACAATGAACTATTCATTAATGAATTTTCACACACACATTATATATATATATATATAGCACTGAGCACGCCAAGCATTTTAGAGGCCATTTTGGCCTTCTCTTCAAAGTGACCACAAAACTGCACGTCACTCGATATGTCGACGCCGAGTATTCAAATACTGGCTGAGGCAACAAGGGGAGTGCCTTGAAACTGAGGAGATAAGACGAAGGGGTTCCTTTTAGCGGTAAACACGCAATTTTGTGTCTTCTGGGGATTGAACTGGACTAGATTTAATCGCCCCATCCCTAAAGAGAGTAGAGACTTTGTTCAACAAAGTCTCGACTTCAGACATGTTTGTCCCGGTACTCGGCGACGTTTTCCCGAGAAATATTGGCACGGCCGGTGTATAAAGCATAACCAGTGCTGTCATCTGCATAGCAATGAATGTCACCCGTTTGCAACATATCATTGATATGCAGAAGAAACAGCGTTGTTGATAGCACGCAGCCTTGTGGAACACCTGCGTTAATGAACTTGTAATCGGAGCATGAACCGTCTACTATGACCGTGATGCTCCAATCTGCAAGAAAACTGGTGATCCAATTACACAATTTCTCGGGAAGCCCATAGGAAGGAAGCTTCATAAGAAGTGCTTTGTGCCAAACCCGATCGAAAGCCTTCGCTTTGTCCAAACTAACGACCAACGCCTCCCCCTTGGACGCTACTGCCTCTGTCCATTTATGAGTTAGGTAACCCATAAGATCACCAGCCGAGCGACCGCGACGAAAACCGTACTGACGGTCACTAATCAGCTGGTGATCCTCAAGGTAACGCAAGAGTTGGCTGTTAATAATGGACTCCATTATTTTAGAGAACAAGGCGGTGATGGCGATAGGCCTATAGACGGATCAGAGCGGTTACCTTTTTTAGAAATCGGGTGCACAAAGCTGTCTTTCATGATTTCAGGACTACGCCTAGGGAGTAGGAGTAGCAGAGAAGACGCGTTAAAACCAATGCCAATTCTGATGCACACGTCTTCAGCACAATAGGAGGGACGCCATGAGGCCCATTCAACTTGTTGACGTCCAGGGAGAGGAGTGCTTTGCGCACCGAGCGTTGGGTAAACAGCACATCCTGTGCAGAGATGGGAGAGATGGCTGACAGAAGTTCCCTTGGACAGCCTTGGCGAGATGTCAGAATTGTTCCCGATGTGACCAGACACGTGTTCCCGATGGAAGACGAACTAGTTTCTCGCCAATTCTGCCGATGTGCTCTGACTTTGCCTTGACAATGACACATTTGAAGGACCTGGAGATGGAATTATACTTCTTTTTAAGAGCGCTGGTATATGCATCCCGAGACGTCGATGCGTGAGCCTGGTAGCACTCTTGCTTATGGCGTAATGCAATTTTGCAGGAGCGACCAAACCACGGCTGGGTTCTGCCTCCGATAGGTACCACAGATGATGGAATAAATAGTTCCATTCTCTGTAGCACCACATCCACATCTGCGATTGAATCAACAACAACGCTGGGATCATCCGGCGAGAAGCAAACCCGCCTCCAAGGGTATGATGCAAAAAAAGATCGCATCCCTTCCCAATCAGCTGACCTATAATGCCAAACACGGCGGTCACCTGCAGAATGCAACCGCGATTGGAGCGTGAGTGGCACCGTACTCCGGATCAGATTATGGTCCGAGGAGCCAAGGGGGGCATCGACGGAGACCTGATATCCGTCCGGATGAGAGGTCAGCAGAAGGTCCAACAGGGAAGGTACATGATCTTCTACATATGGGATCCACGTAAGCGAGGTACTTAGTTGTGTCAGACCATATGCCAAAGCAAAATCGTAAACAGATCTACCCTCATGATCGGCTAAACGAGAACCAAGCCATTCAGCGTGATGGGCGTTAAAATTACCAAGCATTACGGTCTCTGCGGATGGGACCTGTTGTAGCACGGAGTCTGCAGCCATTTGGACGTGGTTGATTAGTCGGCCTGTTTCGGCATTGCCGCTGTCTGTACCACGGGTAGGAGAGATACGAAGCCGGAGAGGACACCTGTGTCTTGGTTAGAAAGAGAGGCCGGCTTTGCCGTTTCCAGATAGTAGTGGATGGCGTTAAGGTTTGAATGAAGTCCCCTGATGTTGCAGAAATTCAAGGGTAGCGTGACAGGGGGCGCCTTTGACTTATTGCTCCGTTTGCCCCGAGCAGGTTTAGTCTCGAACGGAATTTCGCCCCCCCCCCCCCTCCCAGAATTCGTGGGGCAGCCTGAGCACCCACGCTCAGGAACGTGATGCTCAGCGAGGGATTCTCCGTCACCGGGAGTGCTGATACCCTCCTGGGGTAGTATATTATTTAATTTCGCTATGATGCTAAGGGGCGCTAGGGGGGAGGGGGGGTGGGGAATTGAGCCTTCGGCCATCTGCCCTCACCTGACGAAATGCAGAAGCAGAGCTTCTCCTTCACGCTGGTCTTCCGTGAGTTCGTGGTAGCATCCCGGTTCGAGGTAAAGGCTGCCGCGTGTCTCTACCAATGTTAATGTTTTTAGCGAAAACGCTAGCCACCAGCTGTTTAGCTCGTAACGTCACTGCGCTAGTAAATAAAACGATTTTGCAAAGGAATAGAAGAGATATATTTATATGTTTAATAATGAGTTATCATATTTATCATTGGTGTATTGTGCCTGAATGCAAAAATAAGAGCATAAGAACGCCGAGGAAATTATGGATTCAAGTGCCAACAGATTTAAGTATGAGAAATACTTGTTTAAAACTGGCAAGAAGAGACCCAAAGACATTGTCTACAAAAACTAGACTATACTTCTGTGAAGATCACTTTCATGTAAGTATGACTTATATTTAACTTTCGTTTATACAAAACAAAACATCATGAGGTGATAGGTATAGCAAGTCAAATTTTGTAATAGATTAGGTTATCTTAAATATAACTAACGATTGCTAATGATTGTAATTATAGATAAACATAACTATGTATTATCAAAAGACACTCTGACCTGGTATTGTGTTATTGTATAAACAAAAGTTGGTTATAGATACTTACATTAATGTTTTAACATTCCTCAACTCTGCAGGACAAAAATCGGAAATGCATGCAAAAATTTTTGCCACCATCAATGTATTTATCGTTGGTATATTAGTACTTTCTGCTTTTACGAATCAGTCTTCCATGATGTCATTCCAATAAAATACGGAATAAAAGCCAACAATTGTGATGATAACTTGAAAAGATTCAAAAAAACACACAGCACAATAGCTTGTTTACTATTGTAGTAATGTCATGACTAGGGTTGCCATTTTAAAATGGAAAAGCAGGACTCGGCGCTCCAAAAAGCCGGACTTTTGGCCCTAAAAGCCGGACAGTAATTTTTAGAAAGCCAAACACACCTTTCTGAGGTCATGCAGCCAAAAAACTCAACAACTCCAACTCAACAACAACCAAGCGATGCGTGCAACGCGTTACACTAACAAAAAGCCTAACAAAAGCCGGAAAGGCCGGACACATAAAAATTTGGCCATACACAAACCGAAAAAGCCAAACATGTCCGGCTAAAGCCAGACAGATGGCAACCCTAGTCACGACGGAATCTAATATGGCGGATAGCGTTTTAGACATTTGAAGCAAATATTCTTAAAATTGAATTATGGAACTAAAAAAATATAATGCATTTTTATGAAGAGAAATCAACATTTCTGGTTTACTTTTTATAAAAGCTATCATAAATAAGTTTTATTCACATAATGTAAAATACGCTATTATGGCAGCTACAGCAAGTATGCCCCTATGAGGCAATCCTTTGTGGAGGCATATATTCAGCAGTAGAGTTTTTTTTATAGATTTTTTATTTTCTAGTAGTTATTAAGCTGTGTATCGACTTCCGCGAGAGCATTGTTCATCCGCGGCAAACTTGTTTTAGCTCGCGAGCCAATTTTAGCGTACAATTCAACTACAGCGAAGCAGCCGCGCGCGGCAGCCGATCCGCCAACGAACGTTCATTTTGTGCGCGGCAACCATGGACGTTGTACCTCGGCGAAGTGCATTACTAGTTTCGTTACTTTATAAGACACTGTTGCACATCACCTGATTTTCATATGTACCCTCTTATGATACCCAGCAAACAATATGATGCATTTTATATTCTTACACTGCCACTTCACGGTACAGTGGGACTTTGACAGGCAGTAATGACGATGATGATGAGATAGATGCTAGATAATAGTCTGACAGTTGTTCAGTTATATTTTCAAATAAATTTGCTATAGGGAAGCAAATAATAGCCATCCCAGTATTAGTGATAAATTTTATATTTATAGGTACTTACATTTAGCCGGCAAATCATATGCACTAGTTACTTTAGCCTCTCCTGTGGGACATCCTCCCAGAGAATTACACTCATCCTGTAACAAAAGCAACAATGCTTATAACTGATCCAATAAAATTATTTTGCAAAATATCCAATCCAAGTTAAGACTTTCAGAAGCAAAGCAAAATGGTAACAGCGAGAAAAGTAACCAGAACATCTTGCAAATGGATCCATATTGTACATTAGTACGTGTTTGTATTGTAATTTTTCTAACCAGGTAATATGATCCTAAATTGTAGGGGAGTTCGAATCAATGTTTGCATGACATGATTTAACTAACTATTATAAACAACAATGCTTCAGCATGCTTTATAATCTTGGAATGCTTTGGTGGTTTGGTCATATAGAAAGAATGAATAACGAAAGAGTGAGAAAGCAAATTTATGTTGCAGAAGTGAATGGCAGTGCTAGCAAGGGACGTCATAAATGGAAGTTTATTGACCAAATTGATAATTGATAATATAATAAAGACTACCAATCCGCCTCAGCTTTGGACGGTTGATTTCTGGATATCAACATCAACACCACCAACCGGATCCAAATGTGATTCTAAACCATTCTCTAATCACCTTAAATACACACAAAATATGAGATTTTGATGAAACGGCTGGACAGTCATTTAGGAGGAGTATAGTCACACACACAAGAACAGAAGAATTAGATCATCATTATCATCATTATTACAGCCCTTCACAAGTCCACTGCTGAACATAGGCCTCCCCCAAAGAACGCCACAAAGCACGGTCCCGAGCCACCTGCATCCATCGACTTCCTGCAAATCTTACCAGGTCGTCACTCCATCTAGTGGGGGGACGCCCTACACTTCGCCTGCCGGTACGAGGCTGCCACTCGAGAACCTTTCTTCTCCATCGGTTGTCGGTTCTTCGAGCTATATGGCCGGCCCATTGCCACTTCAGCTTACTAATCCGTTGGGCTATGTCGGTCACTCTGGTTCTACTGCGGATATCCTCATTTCTGAGTTTATCACGCAGAGAAACTCCGAGCATAGCCCTCTCCATAGCTCGCTGAGCGACCTTGAGCTTCCTCATCCGGCCAGCAGTGAAGGACCACGTCTCAGTTCCGTATGTCATCACTGGCAACACGCACTGGGTGTACAGTCTCGTTTTCAAGTTTTGAGGTATACCTGACGAGAAGATGTGCCGTAATTTCCCGAACGCTGCCCAACCGAGTTGAATCCGTCGATTGACCTCTCGGTCGAAGTTGGACTTACCTAGTCGGACTATTTGTCCCAGGTAAACATACTCGTCAACAACTTCGAGCTTAGTGTTCCCAACAACTACCGGCATAGGTGTGACATGGACATTAAACATGATCTTTGTTAAGAATTAGATAATATAACATAATTATAATATGCATGTATTATATATATAAAGCTTCCTCTTGAATCAATCTGTCAATTGATGAAAACTGCTTCAAAATCTGTTGTGGACATTAAAACATCTAAGCTTACAGATAGCAAGAAGCATCTTTGTTTTATACTATATAAAGATGGACCAAACTAAAAATACCCTTTATCACTGAGCATGTATATGTAGGTATGTATATGGATGTAAAGGTGTGAAAGTTGTGCCAGGATCATGATAAATAGAAGTAGTCTGCCTGGCTCTCTAGTTGACAGTCGTGTTTTTTTTATAACTTACAGTACAGCTTAACAGAATTTCTTGAATTTTTTGGTCCTTTTATTTTACCTCCTAAAAAGCTTACATACATTTCACAAAGTAATATTAATTTTAAATCAGCTCCTAAACAAAGTACATTAGGTGAATCATCATTTGGTGTAAGAAAGCTATGGCTCTCTCGCTAGAAATGCAAAGGCACAAATCACAGATGTCACTGCATCAACAAAAGCAGATTCAGATTTTCATTGAATGAAATAGACCAAAAATGGAACTAAACCATTATTTGTGATTATAAACAGTTATCAATCCATATAAATATTTATCAATACACTTACTTGCACAAATGAGAAAAATGTTGGACGTCAATGGAAAGTCGTACCAATTTAATTTTAATATGATATGATATTTAATATTTAACCTGTAACATTGATCCCGCTCCACGGTGAATAGCTCCATCAACTCCACCACCGGCTTTGAGACGAGAATTTGCAGCATTTACAATAGCATCAATCTAAAAAAAGTAAAAACATTAAAATATGGAGTTAAAAATTGCCTTCTATATCTTCTCGCTTCTACCTTTATGGCAGTTACAATTAATTGGCTATTGACGTGTTAAGTTTAACCTTTTACTTATTTAAAAACAACACTACCTCCAACTTTGTAATGTCCCCTTTAAAAATAGACACTTTTTCAGCAAGTGTAACATTCTTTTCGGGGTTTATTTTAATCTTTTTCAATTCATTAAGATCATCTTGGGTGCGAATTTTGGTTTTTATATGCTCATTTTCTTTTGCATGTTTAGTCCAAGTATAAATATCGTCCAATGTTATGTATTCACTTGTTCTGTACAACTTCCTTTTTTCTGCTAATGGTAAATTTATAATCCGATTTTTCTCAATTTTCCATTTAGCTTGGGTAGTCATTTTGACTAAGGAATAACACCGATGTAATTTAAAATCGATAATCCACGTGTATAGCTGTAACTGATTGATTTTTTTATAAAATTGTGCGCATTGAAAAGCCGGCGATAACATTTCCTTTATTTTTTGACTTTGACGTTTGACGTTTCGACATTATCAAAATCTTTCTTCTTCTTTCTTAATAACTGGCTTTACGGCTCTGGGTTCTAGCCCTTCTGAGCCTGAAGTTACAATGTATAATTATCCTTCTTAGTACACTGCTCCACAATATTATGTTGATGCGTCACATTGTGCAGCCCTTGGGAGATTTTGACGGCAACTTAAGCCAGCAGACAGCTGACAGTTGGCGATGGTATCTCAAGGCGCCTATGCAGACAGACACCTTATCTTGAGAATCACACTTGTTTCACCGTTTCCACTTCACATGCGTAGACATTTAATACACAAAATTGCACCACTTTTACATATCAAAATCCACTTCAAACCAATCAAATTATTTAAACAATAATACAGGAGCAGCGATCCGTCACCGGTCAAGTTCCCGCCAAAACTCCCATTAAAATCATAGAGATATAAACACAGACTAACTAGGAGATTCTAACCGTAGAGGGTAGTTCATTCTCTCTCTACGATTCTAACCGAATCAGAGGGACATCTCACGAACTAAGGTACTCGACTTAGCTTATGTGTCCTGATTGGTTGTAGCAAAATGATATATGACATTTCTTACAACACACATACAAAAATTAAATTACATGTAATTGAAATAAAATTAAAATTATTTTATACCTTAATTTTATTTTCCAGGAATAACATATTTGTCGTTAAGTTTGTGTAATAACCGTGTTTCTGTATGTACACAGTCTTTCTTATCTGTCCATGTAGAAATCTTTTCTTGGTATTGTACATTTTTTGTTAAAAATTGTTTCGTATTCCTTTGAATAAATGTGGTGGATCAAATATATCACTTAGTGCTGTGACAATGACAAAACAAACAAAAACAATATGGCTGCGATAGCTTGCAAATGAGCTTAGAACATAGATAAATATATATGTAGCAAGCTAGCTTAGAAACATGGAGTATAGAGTAGTCTACTCTATACTCCATGTTTAGAAGGGATGTCGAGAGGCGAGGGGGGGCTGTATGTTAGCTGTCATATAATATCATCTTGCCATGACGTTTCCCATGTCCAGTATTTTCTCTATGAAGATTACTGCCCGTGGATATAACTATAATACCACGTTCTAAGTCAGTGATTCAAATCTTGAAATCCATCAAATCTGCAAGTCTATGTACGCCCCCCCCCCCTTCCCCCTACTCCAGTCTACGAATTTTGAGCATAGACTTAGGACATACTGGCGTATGTCCTAATCTATGACTGTATGCCAGTATATCCTAAGTCTATGATTTTGAGTATGTATGTAAAAAAATATTGACAGACGTATTTCAAATAGCGCATCTCAAAAATTTTAATTATTTTTTATTCACCCATATAGTCTAGAAATAAAAAATAGTTAAAGGTCGCTCACTTTATATCGTCGATATTACTTCAAATAATTAGAATTGGGTACTTTTTGCAATATTAAAAATCTGCACCTTGCTTGAATATAATAGCACCATCGTTAAAGCCTACATCTGAAAGCAAAAGTGGCGCAGGTAGACTCTTAATAATTTGTTATAATCTTCTGACCTTAAAGCGACACATGAAATGGATATATTACCTAGACTTGTAGTAAGGATTATGGCTACCGATTGCATATAATCATAGAACAGTGCTGTGACAACAAAATATTTGAAACTATTGAATTAATATTGCTACTCCTCCACGTCCATTTTTTCCATTCTGATTAATGAAATTATAGTTAGGAATCTTGACAGTTCTATTCTCTCGCAGCCATGTTTCATTTAACAGGCAAATATCTATATCGTTCCCCACTATATAATTAATAAGCAAAGGCTTTTTATTATTAACAGATTGGATATTTAATTGTGAAATTGGAATAAATTGTTTATTCATTATTTTTAAAATTGTAAACACGAAACTGCACGTCACTCGATATGTCGACTTTCGTCGGATTTGAAATGTGGTAAGGCTGCGGGACTAGACAGAGTTACTGCTGAAATGGTCAAGTATGGTGGGCCTCGCGTCTGGGACAGCTTTCATCTGCTGTGCAATTTGTGCTGGCGGACGGGGGATGTCCCGGATGATTGGCGATTCGCAGTCATTGTGCCTTTATATAAAGGTAAAGGTTCACATTTTGACTGCGGGTGCTATCGGGCGATTAGCTTGACCAGTTTAGCAAGTAAAGTTTACTCGAAGGTTTTGACGCGTAGGATGCAAGAGAAATCGGAAAGATTTCTATGGGAGGCACAATGCGGATTTAGACCTGGAAGAGGATGCACGGATCAAATGTTTTCTCTCCGCATGATCACGGAGAAGCTTCTGGCTGCTAACCAGAAGATTTTCTGTGCTTTTGTGGATCTTGAGGAAGCATTTCATAAGGTTGTAAGGAAGAAAATGTGGGAACTGTTGCCGGGGTATGGTGTGGATGGTCGATTGCTAAGGGCTGTGCAGTCTCTTTACTGTGACTGTAAAGCCTGTGTGCGGGTAGGGCATGACCTGTCACCCATGTTTAGCGTCCAAACGGGCGTAAAACAGGGTTGTGTCATGTCTTCCTGGCTGTTCATACTGTATCTCGACAGCTGTTTACAGAAGCTGAAAGATAGCTGTTTGGGTGTGAAATTGGGTGACATAAAAGTAAATTGTCTGCTGTATGCTGATGATGCAGTGCTTATTGCACCATCAGAGGCAGAACTGCAGGCATTAGTCACGTGTATGAAAGAGGAATGTGAAATTAAAGGTCTCCGTTTGAATGCTAATAAAACTAAGGTTCTGGTATTTGAAAGGGACGAAGAGAGAACGAAGTGTGAAATATGGGTAAATCAGGAATGTCTAGAACAGGTAAATGAAATTGTATACTTGGGGAGTGCTTTTAGCCGGGATGGAAGATGTGATTTTGATGTGGACAGGCGTGTCGCTGCCGGGAACAAAGTCAATGGTGCCCTGACTGCGTTAGTCAAAAGGCAAGGCGTAGAGAAGAGTGCACGCCTTGCAGTACATAACGCAGTGTTGGTACCGACTTTGTTATATGGCAGCGAAACCTGGGTATGCCAGAAGAAGCATAAAAGCAAGTTGAATGCGGTGGAGATGCGATCTATTCGTAAAATGTGCGGCGTTACCATGGCCGACCGAAAGCGAAACGAAGAGATTCGCAATATGGCAGGTTTGAAAGATGACCTTATCACAAAAATTGATAAGGGCGTACTTCGGTGGTTTGGGCACGTTGAGCGAATGAGTGAAGATCGAATGGTGAAGAAAATATATAGCGCGAAAGTTAATATTAAAAGGTGTCGAGGTAGACCGAGACTAACTTTCGAAGACCATGTGAGCAAATAGCTCGAAGAGGGTAGGATCAAGAGTACTCGGATACCTAGACGTGCATGTATGAAGAAGATAATGAATCTGAAAGAAGCGAAAGAGGTATGTAAGGATCGTGACACTTGGCGATCTGTTCTCTCTGGCTACCCCGTCAGGGACTGTGCGTGAAGATAAGTAAGTAAGTAAGTAAGGATACCGATACTGGCTGAGGCAAGAAGGGGAGTACCTTGAAACTGAGGAGATACGACAAAGGGGTCCTTTTTAGCGGTAAACGCGCAAACTTGTGTCTTCTGAGGATTAAACTGGACTAGATTTAGTCGGCCCCAATCCGAGACTTTGTTCAGCAAAGACTCGACTTCAGACACAAGTTTGTTCCCGTACTCGGCGACGTTTTCCCGAGAAATATTGGCACGGCCAGTGTATACAGCATCACCAGTGCTGTTGTCTGCGTAGCAATGAATGTTACTAGTTTGCAACATACAATTGATATGCAGGAGAAACAGCGTTGGCAATAGTACGCAGCCTTGTGGAACACCAGCGTTGATAGGCTTGTAGTCAGAACATGCAGCGTCTACAACGACCTTGATGCTCCGATCTGCAAGGAAGCTGGTGATCCAATTGCAAGATTTCTCGGGAAGCCCATAGGAAGGGAGCTTCGAAAGAAGCGCTTTGTGCCAAACCCGATCGAAGGCCTTCGCAATGTCCAGACTAACGGCCAACGCCTCCCCCTTGGACTCTATTCCCTCCGCCCATCTATGAGTTAAGTAGACCAGAAGATCACCAGCTGATCGACCCCGACGAAAACCGTACTGGCGGTCACTACTCAACTGGTGATCCTCAAGGTACCGCATGAGGTGGCAGTTTATAACGGATTCCATTATTTTGGAGAACAAGGGGGTGATGGCGATAGGCCTGTAGTTGGACGGGTCTGAGCGGTCGCTTTTTTGTGGGAGTACCGGAAAAGACGCGTTAGAACCGGTGCCAACTCCAGAGCACACGTCCTCAGCACAATTGGGGGGATTCCGTCAGGCCCACTCGACTTGTGGATGTCAAGGGAGAGGAGTGTACTGCGAACCGAGCGCTGTGAGAACCGCACATCCGGCATGGAGCACTCACGCTCAGGCGAACTAGTTTCTCGCCAATTCTGCCTATGTGCTCTGACTTTGCCTTGGCAATAACTCTTTTGAAGGACCTGGAGGCGAAGTTATACTTCTTATTAAGTATGCTGGTGTTTACATCCCGAGTCACCGAAGCCGCAGCCCAGGCTTGATAACGCTCCTGCTTACTGCGTAATGCAGTCTTACAGGAGCGACGAAACCAAGGCTGAGATCTGCCTCCGATGGGTACCACAGATGATGGAATAAATAGTTCCATTCCCTGTAGCACCACATCAGTGACAGAGTCAGCAACAGCGCTGGGATCATCCGGCGAGAAGCAAACCCACCCCCATGGGTAGGAAGCAAAGAAAGACCGCATTCCGTCCCAATCCGCTGACCTGTAATGCCAAACACGGCGGCAACCTGCAGAACGCAACCGCGAGGAGAGCGTGAGTGGCACCACACTTCGGATCAGACAATGGTCCGTAGAGCCAAGAGGGGCATCGACGGAAACCTGATATCCGTCCGGATGAGAGGTCAGCAG